AATACTATTCTTTATTTCTAGACCTACTAAATTTTGTGATTCCAATCATTAAAGACGAAAATTTTCGACCATTCAGAATCGATGATGAAGTTTTTCACCAGTTCATTTTATACAGAGTTATTTTACCAGGAATTGCTTATGGTTGGTCTTTATCTATCATCTTTAACTTTCAAATTTTCGTTAGCGCTTTTGATGATAATAAATGAGAATTCCGAAGATCTCATTATATGAATGATTGTAGTTTAAGTTGTATGTTGAAGATTGTCCAATTTTGTTATTGTAATGTGATTGATTTGATCTCAAATATAGTAACCTTTTCAAAGCATTTCAGTTTTTTAACCTTCTCAAAGCATTTCAGTTTTTTAATACATGTCCAGTTCAGTTCTTCTACAGAATTATTATTATTAATTACTGTAGCTATTACAGAAATTCTGCGGTTGGATCAATATTTTTTCGAAGCTAATTTTGAATACTTTAGAATCATATTGAGATGACAAAATTTGTACTATTCAAATAAATAGAAAGCATTGTACAAAGTAAGTCCTAATTCTACAAATTCGGAAAAGACTTATTCAAGATACATCTTTCATAAAAATTGCTTCTCAACGATCACACCTAATGCTTGCAGTATGAATAAATATCTTGCATTTGCGATTTAAGAAGCAGAAAAGAGGTTTACTGCAGGCAGAACCTAAGAATAAGAGCTTTTGCTCTTTGTGCAGTCTTTACTTTCAGTTCTTAATTGTAATAAGACTAAATCATCTATCCTTTTTACAACAAAATTGATTTTTGCAAAGTTTAAGTGATTTAGAAGTAAAAAAACGTAGCATTGCTAGAAATGAGAAGCAGCTAATGACAAATATTTAGTTAGTACTGAATTTATGCATTTAAAGGATTTAAATTTACTGTAAAACAAAGAATTTTATCTTCAAAAAATGTAGAAATTTTTCTTTTGCAACTCTTTTCAAAGAATTGAATCAGTACTCTCTACAAAAAAATTAAGTTTCATATTTCTGTTTGCATAAGTGAGAAGACAATTTTGTACATTCTACACACTATTTACTATTAAAAGTAAAAAGTTCATTTTCTGGAAAACTTAACAAAATTGTTTTTCGGCAGTTATACAGAAATCGAAAGAACCAGTCAAGTATCAGCTATTGTGTTTATATTTGTGTACGCATTTAGTTCATCCAATACAATGTGTGCTAACCTGAAAAAAATTCAAATTCTCCAGTTCAGAAAATAAGTTGTATTGCTTAAGAATTGCTCTTCTACAAGCGGTTTAACACTGTGTGAGATAAAAATCTATGATAAATGTAGTACTCGTATAATTATTGTTAAGATCTTATTATTTTGTAACGAAATAGTAATTATTTTAATAATTAGGAAAAAAGATACCGAGATGATCAATATGTTAATTGATGCATTTCATTAATTTTGACTTTTACTAAGGTACTCACTGCTATGTAATATTCATTTAGTGCAATTACAATGATAATGTCTTGTTATAATCACTAAGAAATTATTCTTTCGTATGCAGCTGTTTGATACTTAAACTGATCTACGATTACATTAAGATGGAATCAATATCATTACTACTAACTACAAAGTCATTTTTGCTGTTTTGAAAAATGAGATTGATTAAATGACTTACATATGACACTTCTGAACTACATTATTTTGCGTACTTATCTCTTATCTCTTAAAATTAGACTCTCATTCCATTGCTAGACTAATTATTATTTCTGGTGAATTTGTGCAGATAATTTATTGAATATTTGAATATGACCAACCATTATTTCTCAGTTCAATTTGTAACTATACCCATAAATTATCTCTTTTAGTAAAATATTCGAACTTCAGAATTCTCATTCAAGTTTGCAAAATTTTTTTTTCAAAGACTAGATTATTACTCTAAAATATCGTACCGAAATTTAACATTTGCAAGTATTTTGAATCGAAATCTGGAAGAAGAAAGCTCTTAATTGAGGTAGCTATACTTTATTATTTTGTGTTTACTCTCAATTTTCGTGTGCAATTTGTCATTTAGTACTTACTAACTGTTCCTTTTTTCGTTCTCAGCTTACCAAATTATTCTTCACTGCAGCATTTGGTACCTGGAGACGTTAACGTTAGGCACATAATTCTGCTTGGTACACCATTGCTTTTCATTGCTTGTATGTACTGCAACCGCACTAAATCTACTTGGGCTGTTAAAATTATGAATGAGTCTGAGCAGGCGGTTGGGCAATCGAAAGCTTGTGAATGTTACATGCAGCAGAAAAAATATAGCGCTATTAATGAGGAACAGATTTCTTCGAATTCATCATCAGCTACTCATGGAGCGTTGACATCTTTAGATGGTATTAATGACAAGAATGATAATAGATGTCATGTTCCCGTAATGGTTTTTAAACCAATGATGAAAATTCCAAAAAAAGTAGAGAAATCACCCAACAAAATGGATGAAAACATACACATACCGAAAAAAGTCTCTTCACCAATGCTAAAATTTCCAATATCATCGAAAAGTACGCGATCATTTCAAGCTACAAGCCAACAGTCATCAAATTCTGGAATTCAAACATCATTGCTAAGACGATTACTGGGTTTCTGGTCGAGGGAGTCACAACAAGGAACTTTCAAACTTAATGAAGTCAGACACGAAGACGGTGCGGAATCAACCCTACCTGTTGCAACGGTTTCACAAAACACCTTACAATTTGAACTAACCAAAGAGCATAACAATGGTTGTCTTACTGGCACAGCATTGCTTAAAACAGCACCTATAAAATTGGAACAGGATTGTATGGAATTTATTGATGCTGAAGGAGATGATGCAGAATGTTGCAGGAGTAAGGATACAATGAAGCGTGGTTTTCGGCACTTGTTCACTGAAGAAAAATTAAGCGCCAAGTAAATTCATCTTTGAATTTTCGCGCTTATTCTCGAAGTATGAAATATAAAATTCTATTTGGTTCATTAAATAGATTTGAAAAACACTAGGATTTTTTGAAATGATATTTTTACTTCAAGAATGCTTTTGCATCGGTTAATTTTTGTCTCTTTTCAAGATATGGTGATGAGGACTCAAAATTTGATCAAAAACGTGGATTTCTGCAGGTAATTACTATTGCTGTTGATAGTTATGTAAGTGGTACAGTGGACTTCAGTTGACTATAAGTTTTTATGAAAAGCCTATAATTGTTAATAGCAACAACAGTTCTTCAACAAAAAAGACACATATATATTTTTTCAGAAGTTTTTGCATCCAACTAGTTTGCGGTCATTTAGTTGTGCTAGTGAAAAAACTAGCGCCAATTTAGAGCGAAGGCCATTATTACATGATGATGATGGCTACACACTTATCGATAGGTCAAGCAATGGTGAACGAACGGCTGGCAGTAAAATGAAGTTAAAACGCGAAAGTAAGAAGTTTTTGCATAACTTTAATTCTAAAAATCTTTTTAAAGCAGATTCGGAAACAAATATGCGTAACTTTTACAATATCGATAGGTCAAGTTTGATATTTATCTACCTTATAGAGCTATTCTGCATTGTCTTGATATTTATGCCGTATAAATAATATTGAATCTGATACATCGCTATCGCAAAAGCTGCACTATTATACAGTTATCACATTTTGTTGAGGAAAAATTTCAAAACAAAACTGATATGTCTCACAGTCTTTTAAAGCATCAATGCTTTAATTAACTAGTTGTCAAATATTTAAAGGTATAGAAAAAGCAAGTAATAAATGCTGAAGTATTTATAGTGTCCGTGCCTGTCGCTCAAAAATCTGTCACTTTCGAAGATGATCTACTTGAAGTAGCAACAGTGCGAAGGGGTCAAAGTGTTACTCCATGTGCAACTTTTTTCCCTACAAGCACCTCAGCAGAAACAACTACACTTTCCACTAGAAAATCAAATTCCATTCCACAAAAATTAATTAATTCTCATTATGATACGTCACAAACAACAGCTTCAAGTTCTTTGCATGAATCACCCGAGGTTGAGCACTTTGTGAACTTTTCATTTTTTAGCCATTAATCAGGTTTGATCATTGTCTCCTAACATTCATTTGAAAAATGCTTACATCGACTGGCATAAATCAATCAGGTAAGTTTTTATCTTTGCATCAAAAATGCATATTATTGAATTTTAAATAAAAAGAAGCAAAATAATAGTAGAAAGTTACAGTCACCAACTCACTTGTGCTCTGATGCATCAAATTTGGTTCTCGATGAAGCCACTTACGATTTACTACGCTTTTCTTCACAGCTTCCACCAATTGAGTTCTACAAAAATACACGTTCGCAACCTGCAGCTGATCCTGTTCCAAAATCAGCTCCTAAAACATCCATAAACAAAATCATTAGGACAAATGTAAGTTATTACTTTTCAGGGAAAATTTGGGCAATGCTACTCCATTTAAAAATATACTTAAATAATATATCGAACATATTTTATGTTTATTTACTAAACAATGAATTCTCTTATTTCTAGTTACGAAAATTCATTTGCTTGTTAATATAACCTGAAAACTAGAATCTGAATCAACAGTTTAAGTCATTCAGGAAAAAATGGCGAGAAATTTATAGTTTGATTTTTACAATAGACAGCTTTTAGGAAAAATCGAATACGATATTTCTATTATTTCTAAATACTACATTTTAGGATGGTAAAGCGTTCAAATTATCAGAGGAGTCAAGCTGGAATAATACTCATTTAGATGAAGTCAAACCTACCTCCCAATTAAGGTCAATTAATTCGAGAATTCACTCAAGTTCTGGAAAGCAGCATCACAAAATAACCACCACTACTGATGAATCAAGGTCTTTATTTTCGTTATAAATAGCTTGATAGCGAAATTTTTATTATTGAGATATTTAAATATATTTCCAATCGAACTTTTATTCTGATAATAAATTTTGCGCGAAGATAATATTTGTAGACAAGAACAACCAATAATACGAACAACAGTTCAAGGAAAACTAAATATGAAAAAAGTAGTTGGAGCAGATTTGATTTCCGTTGAACACTGTATATGTAACGCTTGGACAATTCGCGACATTGTTGCACATTATAAGGTTGTATTTCTATTTCCTGAAAAGTAATTATCAACCAAAAATCAAACTAAAAAATTTGTAGAATAGAAGATATTACACATTGGTCGGTAGTAGATACACAAAGATATCAAAAAAGTACATGGATTAATGGTGTTATTAGAATACATTCATAATGAGTCTTTTATTCCTAATTTAATTTTATTTATGTACTCTTTCTACCTGCAATTTTTTTATTTACCTTTTTATTTACACTTTTAATTTTGTATTTAAATTTTCATTTAAAAATTTTGAATTATTTTTAAAACAGTAGCTTAATGAACAAGATTTGTACGATTTATAGGTAAAAACAACACTAGGAAACCAAACGATTATTATGGAAAAGCAGAAATCGTGCAGTAATGAAAATGGTAACAGTGATATTAAGATGAGTCTTTATGAAAATGATCAACTGAAGATGGAACAGAATGCTAACTTTCAAGTACCATCAAATATGGTGATTTCATTGCAGTAGTCTTCATTAAACAAGTAAAGTGTACATCTTGAGAGAGTCAGAGACTGATTTAAAATCAATCGCAAATACGTGCAATGATTAAATTTTGAATTCTTTTCTTGTCATCATAATATGAAAATTAATTCGTTTGAATACAGAGTTGACTTGTAGTCTACTTAAATTATGAATTAATATCAGTTAGTTCATCAATGCAATGTAGTTGTTTAGAATGAAGCGGATTATCTGTCGTTGCTCAGTCAACGACTCTTACGCAGCATGAAGGATTTGGAAGAATATCGAAAATGCGCAGTCACACGAGTCGAAACTGAAATCATCGAAGATGTGACTAATATTGTTAAAACATATCTGGTTGGAGAACGTTCTGATTCGTTTCAATCGTTTAATCATGCAACAATAAATACTGCAAACCAAAATGCGTGTGGCGATTACCAAATCGAGAATACATCAGCTGATAGTGTTTCAGTTTTCGATAATGCTTTCTCGGAGAAGAATTACGTTAGTGTATTGAGAAAACAATCAAAAACGAGGAAACCAAAAATCGATACAAAATTTCAGTTTGAAGATCAATGTTTTGAGAACTATTCTAAAATACAAAGCCATGAAGCCACTGAATCTAACGAGGAAAGAAAATATGAAAATTTCATGGTGCCCAAAGATACGCCATCATTGCACGGCATAAACGTGTACATAGAATGTAAACTAAGACGTACTGAAGATTATTCTTCAATTGAAATAAACGTTGCAGTACCACATGTCTTTTCTGCAGTCTTATCATTAATTTATGAACGTTTACCTCAACTTTCAAACCATGTAACAGAAAAAGAAGGAAAAAAATATGCTGATGAGACAACTATCCAGTATGCACACCATTTTGATTACGCAGGATCATTTGAAGATTTACAACAGCAACAGCAGCAGCATACAACCATTGAAAAACGGAACCAACCAAGTTTTTTGTTTGAAAAGCCTGAAGTTATTCAACCGGTAAAGATACCGGCATTAATCATTTCAAAATGGGATTTGCGAAAAATGGCTGATACGTCGGCAATTTTAGCTAATTTTGTAGTTTCGCGTACAGACTACAAAACAGCAAACATCGTTCAACATGATGTCAATAAAGAAAACTATTACAGATTGGAGCAACAAGGCCAACACTATAAGGATGAAATCATTATTAACAAAAAGCAGTACTTACTTACATCTGAATCTGTGAAGTCAGATTCCGATGAAAGTGAATTATTATGCATGAAAGAAACTGATGTTGAAAGAAAGTGTGAAAAAATTGAAGAGTCAAAATTTGCTAATAATGCAACAATCTGGTATGGCAAGCAGGTTGTGAATGATTTACTGACAGAAGAAACTCAAAAAAATGCTATTGCAGAAACAATCTTAGATATGAAATCAGAGGAAAAATTCAGTCACGCAGATTTCATAAAGCAGGAAGCTCGTGGAGAATTCGAAGTTACAATGAAAGTTAGTAGCAGTCAACGCAGCTCACCATTGCGGTTGAATGAGAATTATTCTGTTGAAGATATCAGTGTTGTTGCTCAAATTAGTACGGATGGGAGAAAAGAAGAAATCGTTACTATTTTGCCCACGAAAATAGACGAAGTTGTTAAATATACTGTGAAAAACATTGACATTAGTGTATTAGTACAAAAAGCTATGAAACTAGATGAAATACTTCAACAACATATTCAAAACTGGAATGCCACAAGATTAGAAAAAATTGCTGCGCAATTTAGAGAACATCAAGTTGAGCAAGCAGTGATCATGTGCGGCATGCAGAGTGAAACATCAAGTCATGCAGAATGTACGCATGTGCTAATTATGAAGCCTTCACAGAAGATCAAATATCATACAAGTGCTATTGGAGAAGAATTCGTGCAAATTCGTCTGAAATTTGCATTTAGCAAAGAAGCTTTTCAAGAAACCGATCACATGTGTATGATTCCGAATATACTTTGTGTTTCATTTACATGCGCTGCTTCAAGTACTGAAAAGACTGTGGCGGTCATTTATATGCAAAAAAAAATAACAGACATAATGATGTTCCTATCCTGTGATGAAATACGTAGAACTTTGCGAATCTCTGATGGACATATTTTAACAACAAAAGAAACAAAAACAGAATCCACTACAATGACAGTCAGCATAGGATATATTCAAAAGTACGCCAATGAACTTCAGTCAGCAATCACTTTGAGAGATATGCACGAACTTACCTCATATCTTCGTGTACGAGAAAGTTGTGAAGTGGAATATGTCTCAAATTTATCTCTTAGTAAAGGGACCAAAATGTTAATTACAAGTACTCATTTGGCAACACCAGTGAAGTACCATGAATGTTATACCGTAAAAGAATTTGGAGAAGCGATGGCACATGTTGCCGTAATGTTACAGCGTGGAGGTGTTTCGTATGGCAATTTAGAACATAACTGGCCTCAAGCACTGGCAGGTAAGCCAAAATTACTTACATTTGTAATGTTTATGGTAAATACATTAATATCTCTAATGTTTTTCACCCGTATTACACTTATTAATACTTCCATTATTGACCTAAACATACAGTAATAAAAACAATATTTAACTGTTTAAAAGAATTCGAGCATTTCAAGTTGTTATCAGAAGTATGACTCGGTGATTTATCATTTCATTTGCAAAGGTTTTGTTATTAATTGCATGCATCAGAGTACTAAGATTCCAATGAAAATTAATTTCAAATCGTCCACAAATTTTGTACTTTTTGTAGAACTGTAAAAGCAACTTAACCAGACTAGTAAGACATTTAACGCTCACTTAATGGATAACTAGCAAATATCATCGTGCTAGCAGCAACAATTTCTTGAATAATTTACATTATATAATTACGTATTGTACTGTGACGGAACATCCACATTATCGAAGCTGTAGATGGCTTCCAGGAAAACTACATCATGAAGAAATTTGCAGTGAATGCATGCACTTTATTCTTCGCATCGTCAACAAAGAATTGCAAGTAATTTGGACAACTTCCTTAATTAATAGAGGAAAAATGCAAGGAAGCTATGTAGTTTTTTACATATTGATGAAGGAAATTACTGAAGAATTGATGGAACTTATTAATCATAATCCCATACACGAAACGTCTGTTGAGCATTTGCTTCAGCATAAGTAACAACCCTTAGTATTTACTGACATAAAACAATCTCAGGCAACTGCTTTAAACCATATTACAGTCATTAGAAGACGAGAAAAGCGAGTAACTGAAGGTATGGTCAAGCTGAAGCAAAAGTTAACTCTCTACTTCCAAATAATTCCACTCATTCAGCAATAATGATTTCATGAGCATTCAAAGGTTTAGAGTGCAGCGATATGGGATATAAAAACAGCGAGTTTTTCGACAGCGAAATAAGTACTTACTTGACTCAATTTACTGTTGCATGCATTGAATGTATTTGGTCTTACGACATCCAGCATTGGATATATTTGGTCTTACGATTTAACTGAAATACGTGTATGCAAAGAGGCAGTAACAGATAGAAATAATGTAAGAACTGACCGTCAGAAGCTGCGGAAACTAGTAAGTATGCGAGAATTCAGCAAACTATACAGCTAGAAGTGGCAGAAATATATTTATCTATACGATGAAGACAATTGAATTAAATCCTTCAAAAACACTTTTCGACAAAACTTTGAAGAGCAAATACGAAATGAACGGAGTGTAAACGTTGAGTGGATTGCGAGATGTTACAACTGCAGTGTTAAGTGCAACCTTTGACCTCAATTTTAGTTTGCTGATGACTGCTGAGGCTATACTGCAAAATTTATTTGATCAAGCATGTCATGTAAATGCTGTAATCATGAATGTGGTAAAGTACAGGTTCTTTGAGCATTTCTCCATCAATGCTGCAGACATTAACGTGAAGTAAATACAAAACCAACAGTAACGAGCGCAAACCAACATTGAACAGAAATATATAAAGCCCAAGTAGAGCTTAGATATGGTGCTCGCAATCGATTGGAAACTCTCAGATCAAAGGCGATATAAAAATGACGTTGCAGATGACTCGGTCTTACATTTCTTATGTTTAAGTAATTAGAATAGTCGAAGAACTGCGAACTAAAGACACGAAGTCTGTGATCAACAAATTCATAAATTGAAAGAGAAGATTAAAAAAAAAAGCAGTCTATAAGAAGCCAGCAAAAAAGAAATTAATCACAGTAAAGTACAATAACTAAATTATAACCAGAAAAATTGCTAGATGTAATAGGATTGAGATTTTATTATCAGTTCATATGGATCATCATCGAGAAATATTTAATTACTTAGCTAATGGAACCAATGGGAATTCAGGAATAGTGGAACACAGTGTATGCCAACGGAACTCAGCCTTGATTCCACAAATGCACTGACGATAAGAATATAAAAAGCAAAAGTTGAACTTGGATTTGTCGATAAAAATTATTGCTAGAGACTCGCAAGCTAATTTTGTATTAAATTTATAAAGAGAGTGAATTCACAACCAGCGCAGAGGATGGAAAATTTTTCAAAGTGTAAGCAGCAATTTTGCAAAAATACAACAAATATATCTTTTATAAATCGCAAAATTCGGTACAGACGATGAAGTGGATGAGTACTGGTCTCAGCAACTACCCAGTCTCATTCCAATAAACTGCTGATGATATTATATCAATCAGTTCTGGTGTATTTAGCATGAATTATGATGTAGTTAGTGGAAGACATGATGAGATTAGCGAATACAACCGTGGAAGGAAAAAGTAGTGAGTTCAACGATGCTACACTTTCTTTAATTAGAGAAAAATTGTGCTCAGAAAAATATCTTTCTTCTCTAAGTGTAACGTCGAGAACGTGAAAAATGTTAAAGACGACTATGAAATACGTGCAAGAATTATTATATTTCAATCTTCAAGACAAGTAGTCAGTAATTTCAAACTTGATGCATTCAAAAATTCGATCCTTTGATCAACAGGGCATTAATGAAATCTCATTTGCAATTACAGTGACCTGCACAAAATCAGAATTCACTCCAATTATATTCACAAAAACGCAAGCTAATGATCAGTTTCACGCAATTCTTGACCAAAGCGTGAATAAGAAATGAAGGATGAACTTTTTGCAGCAAAGTACTGATTTCTGTGATCTAAATCTGGAAATATGATATACTGTAATGGTCAAAACTAGCAACATCATTAATTCCAGAAGCGACTCTCAGTATCAATAACAGTGAATTGCGCCAAAAAATATTCAAAATCAAAAGTTAATAAGTTGGTGAAGCTAAACGGTGTAACTGACATGAAGACTAGTCATTTCACAGGAATGTCAAGTAATGAAAACATGAATTAAGATCAGAAAAGAGCGTTTTATATTGGCAGGAAGTGGCTTAAATGAAATACATCAAACTTCAGATTTGCTTATTGAGGGAAAAGCATTTCTTGCTTTAGAACTGACACTCAGAGGGAAGCAACCTACCATTTTCCCGAATTAATGGTGAAGCATGTGGAACAGAATAAGCTGTCCAATGTTAAGATTCCAGCACAAATTATTGCGCATCATGAAGCAAATAAAACAAAAAAAAAAAGAACTTACTTGGACCACCGAGGGTTTCCATGTGATGAAACTGCTATTCATGGGAATCTTTGGATTCATTTAATAAATTACAGATGGCAGAAAATTTGTGGAATAAAAGTATTCCATTAAAACATTTGTTGAACATATCATTCAGAATTAATCCTGAGCTTATATTGTTCGTCAAACCATGAGTTACTTTGAAAGCTCTAAAAATGGATACAGTGGTATTACTAACTTTAAAGCTTGTGCAGACAATTCCACAAGCTTCTGTGTATGAAAGTTTATCGCTTCAGAATCAATTCCACAGTTATAGTGTGGAACATATTGTGATGCAAAAATCTATAGCAAAATTTAATTTCAAAACCAGATTCGTATGTCAAGGTTGGAATTTTTAAAAAAGATCTGGGAAATGAGAAGGTACCAAATAGTGAATCTCATTTTATGAGAAGTACTTTTGAGCAAGTTTTCTTAAATGTTCTGAAGTTTCGTGAAAAACATACTGCGAGCTGGCGGTAAATGTCTCATCCTAGAGTTGTTATTAAGATTTAAAGCAGAAATCTATCTGTGTTGATTGGGATGGGCAAAAAAGGGGTGAATTATTTACTAAGCTGATAAAATGCCTGAAATTGCAAGATTATAAAAGACTCGCTCTGATTCAAGTCATTTAAATATAGTAAAAATGACAGATGGTTTTTGTAGAAAATACAAAAGCCAATTTTTATAAATCTGAGCTAGAAAAATGTTGAACATGGAGACAGTGATGAATACTGATGCGGATTAATTGAGAAAAGGGATCGAAACTTTCAAGGCATTTCTGACTCCAATAATGCTAGTCATCTTTTTCTGAAAAGTTTTTAAAGCAGCTCGATCGAAATAAAATTAACGAAGTGTTCTACAGTGTTCAGTGCAAATGAAAAGAAATCAAAAAGTTGAAGAGTAACCGAGATAATGTGGCTGAGTCAAAGAAATGGATAATTAATTTCGAACAGCTAAAGCTGGTCCCAACAGTATTAAGTGAAACTAATCATGCTAATATTACCATTGATAATGAAGAAAATAATGAAGCATATGAAAATAATTTTACAAACAATTGGAACATCAGTCTCACGAATTCCCAATGAGATATTCAGAATTAGAGCAATGCTTTTGCAGCCAGAATTTCGCAGTTGACGAAATAATAGATGTAAAATTAGAATATTGCTGCGAAGACTATCATCAATATTTGCTGTTCAGGATAAACGCAACTTCAGCTTGGAGCTAATACAGGGTTACAATTTAAGGATAAAAATGGCTTCCACGTGCATTTTTATGGGAAAGAGTTTCTCAAAGTGTCATGCATTGATATGTGGTCTAAGGGATAAATATCAATTTAAATTATAGCCTGAGAAGAGTACATGTGCTCAAGAAGAATTACGAGTCTAGAAGCAACATACAATACTTCGCGCTCAAGATTTGGTGGAATTAAGAAGAGAAAACTCAGAATTACAGTGCATTGTTTAAAGAAAAGAAACGGTTGCTAAAGATACTGAGCACTTGTTGACACCAAAGATGCACTATATGCAGCATGCTCAGAGATTGAAACTGAAGCAAATGCATAACTGCCTTTGCCTGTATCTCTCATAGAAATAATCTATATTTGGAAGTACATAGTTGGATAAAGTATGTCAGGAGGTTTGAAAAACGAATCAACTAAAGTAACAAGTTTACATGAAGTTATCATAATGGTCAGATCACTGCAAACTTAGCAGAAACGAAAAATATATTGGAAGAAACCGTTTGGAAAGCTGCGCACAAAAATGTACTAAAAGAAAAAGGAACTGAAATCTTATCTCAGTAGACTATTGTTGATTATGACTTGAAAATATAGCTAGAAATGTCACAGGAATTCAATACTGCCAGCTCATTTCCAGCTGTGATAGCAAACGAAGAAGCTGCGATCACATTAAAGAGTATGGCACTAAAATGTATTAAAAAATTACGCATAGCTAAGGCAGTTATTCCAGTAAAATATCCTTATTGTAAGTTAGAAACTGTATTCGAGCAAGTGTAGGAGTTAGCAGAAACAGAAAACAGAATGCTACGAGAGAACCTGGTTTGGTTAAAATTTAAGTGCATTGCGTATGTCCATGCACGGATCTGCTGTGAGAAAGCTTTATGCGCAAATGATTCGTCATTGCTTACCAAATGTACTCTTGAAAGAAACAACTAGTAAATGGATTCACGATTCACCTACCTGCATCATTACATATTAAGTTACACACTGCGAGAATGGATTATGTAAGATTAATATTTGCTTGTGAAATGAATCAGAAGAAAAGCAGAGAATCAGTTTATATCTGCAATTATTTAATGCAAAGAAAGATTTTCGAGTGCGAACAACCTGAAACCAAATAGTGTATATGATGACTGATTTGCCCGAAAAAAGTTCAGATCATTTAGAGGTCAGAGCAATGCGTTCGGAAGCTAGAAAAAAAAGGCATGATTTCCACATTAAAAGAACATCGAAAGAATGGAAGTGACACTGTTCACGCAACTGATCTTAGAGCATTACGCACTTGCTGAAATACTGATAATGATAAATGTCAATCGTGTCTTCGAACTTCAGCTCTTCATGAGTCGTCTATAAAAGAAAAAATTCTAAATCCTACGAAGAGTTTCGTGTGCTACACCAAGCTCCTGAATACATAATGATTATAAGTAACGAAGAACAAAGCTTATCAGCATGCTTACACGGGAGATAAAAGAAACTTTTGTCATCACTGGATTTCCAAATCATAACGAAGAAATAGCGGAAACTTATTTGTAAAACGTTTGGGTGGGAAATAACTACCTGCTTACCAAAGCTGCTCAAAGGGAAAATTGTGATATCGATGTGGCAGTACCAGGAAGAATTGAAAATGAACCAATAAATAAAAAGATGCATGGAAGAACCAACGATGTTGCCTCCAAAAGCTACTTGCTTTCTTTAACTTTCAACATAACCAAGTTTGATGTAAAATGGGAAAAAACTCAAAAAATGCAAAATATCATTGCAGTGTTAGTTTGCTTATGCGTTCGAGAAGCGAAGCCTGTCAAGACAAATGTTTGCCTGCAGTTATCAGAGTCATTCGTACTGTTCATAAATATGTCAAAGTTAACGGAAGTATCTTGAAAGCATCTGTGGTTAAAATGATTCCAAATTACGGTAGATGTTTGTCTTTAACTGTAGATGATGCACCAAGAGAAGTCATTCATTAATAATAACGCGCTGCACAAAAATGGACTCTCTGAGCTGGTTGAGAAAGCACTTGGAGAAGTGATATATTGACGAACTCAATGTTACTATCTACATTCAGAGTTGCTGAAGAAATGCAAGAAGTCAGAATAGACTATGTGAAAAATATATTGGCAGTGGATGCTACTTCCATGTGCTGCAAAGAAGTGAATAAAGTTTGTAAAGTAGCTGCCATAACAGACGATAACGAATACGCATATTTGCAGCTTTTTGAGCAAGAATGTGAAAGTTGCATGGAAATGGAAATAAAATTGAAAAGAAGTCAATTTTGTGGGCATCTGTGTCTGACAACGCTTGCTTCTCAAGTAAATAAAGTGAATGGTGCACAAACACTTAAAAATAAGAACCCCGTAACTGGATTTTGTAATTTCAGTCTATACTGGGTCCAGAATAAGCGCTATGCATCAGCTCTCGCTACACCATCAGAAATAATACATACTTCGGCATATTTAGAAAAACCTGCAAGCACATTTATAATCAGCATAATTGAACTTGACAAGGCAATATTAAAAGACAAATTAAGAAAGCCAGAAAGTGAAGCAATTCTTCTCACAATAAATTTGAATAATTGCAGTAACACATCAAAAGGAATTTCAGAAAAAATGGTATGGTTGCGAAGAAATGGTGGCACATGTACTTTGACAACTACTGCTGCGACTTCAGAGCGATGTCAGATTATGCCTATGCTAAAGAAACGGCACGAAGAAGTTTTCTGTGCTTCAGTGACTATTGCAATTGCGGAGAACGTGATTGCCACACCATTAATTACGCCACAATCAGAATATGAAGAAGTAACACTCTCTTCAAAGCATCTCTTTACTTTCTATAGGCTTGATGCATATAAAACTTTAGCATCACATAACCGAGGTGCTAATGTCAAGTTGAAACTACTTGAAACACGAGAAGAGACAGAATTTTCGACTTATCAAATAAAACAGGAAGATGCGATGGAACAAGTAACCACACTACTCCCTGAAGTTTATTTTGGTGGTCGACTTGTTTTTGTGACTTTTGCTGCAACAGAAAGCGCAATTGATGTAATATTTCAGTTAATATCAAATGCAGTTTCTGCAATGGAAGTACATTTGATGAAAACGGTAGCAAATGAGGGAATACCACAAGTCTATATCAGTCAGTCAGCAGGTTTAGAAGAAAACAATCAAGTAGTAGCTTTGGAATGTAATGATGCAGTAGAACATCTGGCTGTTTCATGGAAGGCAGCGAATTTGGCCCAAGTAAACTTTATCACTGCAGAAAGTAGTTTGAAAACAGAGAATCTCGTTATTCAATATCAACATACAGAAGAGAACGCAAAGGTTAAAAAAACGGTAAATTTAGCACTTTACGGTGGACAGCAGAGTCTTGGTACAAGAGCAGCTGGTGAAGTTATGGCAAACAAGTATTACGAATTTACATCCAAACATATGACTAGTGTAGAAGTAGAATTAATGTGTAAGATTATTGCTACTGTAACTCCGTGCACATTAAACACCCAATCAAGTAAATTTGAAATAAGCAAACAAGTATACCAGATCCAGAAGAAGCTGGCTGCTGAAAAGGATACCACGCGAACTTTCACAGTTGCGCACTTGCAATGTATTACATTTAAGACTAAAGAAAGTATGACTGAAGTAGAAACGGTTACTGCTCAATGGCAACGTTGCAAGACAACTTCTGAAATAGCTTATATATGCCTCGTTGAAAAACGTTTCGGTGGAACGATATGTTTGTCTACAGATTTTGCTCAAGAAGTAATTGTCACCTGCGAAGTTCCTCTAAAAGCTTTCTTTTCCGTAGAAAGTGCTAGTTTCATTCAATCCATCGCTTTCCAGAGCATGGAACACCCCATACTTCTAACAGCATCCAGTACTGAATTGCAGAATGACACTGATTGCTGCTTATATCATCCACCTAGCATTTGCCAGTCAGAGATTACTGTTCATGTTAGTAATCAAGCTGGGAACATAATTAAAAAGCTAGCCGAAAGTACTGTTATTTTTGAAACCATAACCACTCATTACCAGCAATCAGATGTACTTCATTCATTTTCAGGAATAATTCCTGAAGCTCGTTATGGTGGATCACTAATCTTGAACACCTTAGCTATAACAGAAACATCTGTTATTGTGAACTTCAATCTAATATCTGCATCTTGCAAACATATGGAAATGGAATTCATTTGTTTACATAAAAATTGTATAGTTGAGAATTACCATGTATTAGCAAGTACCGAAAAAACTACTTTAACAAGCATTCAGCTTGAACGAGTCAACAATGAAGTCTTCAATTCTGTAACTGTTAAACATGTACCATGCAAAGGTAATGGCTTAATAGTTAATTTTATGGAATCGTCAGACATCAATGAATTCAACAATTTCATGCTCACAAGTCATGCAGAAGCAGGTGTGACAGCTGCAATCACTTTGAAAGAACCGCGTTATGGTGGCTGCGCAAAACTGCATACTACATATGCATCTGAAGAAATTGTTTCAAGCAACAGCATACTGAAGAAAGATATGATGAAACAGCAAATAGAACTATGCAAGAAAACAGCAAACTGGGCCGACTCAATTACTTTCACAAGTCTAGCTTGTCAAGAAGTCGGGATTTCTATCAGCTCGACATTAGGATCCGTGAAACAAGCTTATTGTGAAACTTCCAAGAAATTGATGATACCAAATTGCGAACATGAACAAAAGTTTGATACAAGGGAGTGCACTGAAGTAGCGCTAGTGAAAAACTTTACCTTGCAAAAATCTTCAACTTACAAATCGGCACTCTTTACTGTGAGAACTAAACAAGTCAGAGGCAATTGCGAGTTGCAGTGTAAATCGCCAAGTGAAGTGTGCGCAGATCTGTATAAGTGCTTGCAGTCTAGATTACCTTTAAAGCAACACGCTGGTGTCACATTGATAATCAGTACAGTACGTAAAGGTCTAGGCGTTGCTATGAAAGTGATTGAGACAGAGGAAACAATTTTCAATGCTGAAGTATCATTCGAGAAACAAAACTTGGCAGCAATAAATACTTACAATGAAACGAACGTTATGTCTACTGAAATATTACCAAGTATAGAGAGTGTAGAATCAGATTTGCGTGAAATGGATTTGCGCAGTCATTTATATGAAGTTCATGAAAGATCTGATCCACAGTTGTTTTCTGCAGTGTTTTCATCTCATTCTTTCCAATTAGATTCCGTGGAGCAGACGTTGATACGGCATGAAGCAGAATTGCGTGCGGAGAAATCGCGCTCAAATGGTGAGGCAGAAATTTGTAATTCAGAACATGCAGTAGAGCGTGATAACTTAACGTGTGAAGAGCAAGTTGATTTGAATTTACGATTAATAGCCGAAGGAGACGGAGAACGAGAAGAGAAAATCGAAAAAAGGTTGAGGTATTTCTGCAAATGTAAAAATTTAATGAATGACTTTCATACAAAATGAGGTACTTGTTAGGAATTTGAATTCCTAACAATTATCTCATTTAATTTACTCAAAATTATTTTTATCAAATTAAATTTATTTTATAAATGTTGCAGTTTACTTACTGTTAATAAATGATCGTCAGTATTGTCTTTGATTCTCACTTTCTTCCTAATAATACTTTACAAACCAAAGTTAGCTTATAGCAGCTGTATTTGTTTGCTCACCCTTGAATTACATACAGGGTGAGTTTTGCTGCTGAGGTAACGGAGAAAACGATGGCAGTGGAACAACAAGAACCCCCAAAGATTGTCAAAAAACCAATGAAAAAAGAACAGCGGCTTGGATATCGAAATGTTTTACGTCAGAATGAAGCACCAAACTTGTAAAATAATTTATATCAATTCAACTTTGATTGGCTTATTCCGTCAGATTATCATGATTCATATAGAAGTTATCAATATTTATGAATCTAAATGATTATATCAATATGCACAGCCGCATTTTTGTTCCCTACTTTCATTTTCTTTTGTAAAGATGCATTACAAAACTGAAGTCATTTCTTGATAATTAAAGTCGTTCAACGACGCTTAAGTTTCGAGACGCTATAAAAAATTAATATATATTCTAAAAAACTATCAACTACAAACAGTATTTCCCATCACTATCACTTCTTTCATTATCGTTATTATTATAATTCTAATTAATAGTTATAATAATTATAATTAGCTATTAATAGCAATAACTACAGTAATTATTACAATCCTTACTTTTCCTAATCTATAATTCTAGCATACCCGTACGTCGAAATAGCCTGCTTCTGGCAATGGATCTTGGTAGTTTTCATAATATACCTCATTACAAGACTCTTGAGGATGTTATTCGAGGAATCAGAAAGGTTGAACCTTGAACTAAATTTTCGGAAACGAATATTTCAATTAGTAAACAACTATTTGTTTTTAATTATTTGTTAATTAAATGCTTGATATTAGCATTTGTACTTTTATTTTAAATAATAAGAGATCAATCATCTATTATACAATTTTTGACCAGTTTGCTGACTTGAGTTCAAAATACTGAATTGTTCAAAATACAAAATTATAGCTTAAAAAATGAATTGCAAATAAAAGATAATCTTTAAATGTTACAGGCTGGTTTGGAGTATTCGAATTTAATTTTTGGGATTGATTATACAAAGTCAAACAAGTATCAAGGCGAACGAACATTTGACGGAAGAAACTTACATTCCCTATGTTCAGATGAAATGAATCCCTATCAGCAGGTATTTGCTTTATCGCATATTTGCACTCATACTTCGATTTATTACGTGCCCTTAAAATAATCACGTTAGTAAAAAGAAAATTTCACATGATCAAAGAATTTTTTCAAAGTACGTACATCATCAAGTTCTGACAATGAAATTGGTAATGGTCAGGGTACCACGTTGGTGAACACTTTGTAGATCATTTTTACACTGCACTGTTTTGCACGCTTAAATGACCTACAGTTGATATTGGTGTTTGTGATCACGGTTTTTTCGAATAACATTAGTTCTATTGTAATCCGATCGAGCATATTATTTGTTTCTGATAAAATAGCAAGACGAAAAAAATAACAGGTAATCGAAATAGTTGGGAAGACTCTATCATCTTTTGATGCCGATGGAGTCATACCAACCTATGGATTTGGTGATGAAGAATCGACTGACAAAAGCATCTTTAATTTATATGATCGAAATGATGTGCAAGCAGAATGCAACGGTTTTGAAGGTTACTGTGACGCATTATTCAGCTATATATATATAAGACTTCCTTGGTAATGTCAGAAAAATGGATGAGACTTTCCTAATTGTTCAGAAACAAAAGCTAACTAACTATTCAACTATGTAAAAGATATAAAAGGAATTTTATTTCAGAAGTACTGAGGGTGTACAATGATAAGACACCATTTATTGAAATGTCAGGACCAACAAACTTCGTACCTCTCATCGAGCAGGTTTTTTGCTTGAATTTGGACTTACTTCAAGAATTTATTGCCAGAAAACTATTGACATTAGTTTGCATAAAATTAGACATTATAACCAATATTTTCCTTTTCCATACGTTCATTTATAATTAATGTTTAACAGAAAAGTTTTCAAGGCCACAACTATTGTTCGGCAAAAGCAGTCATACCATATACTAGTTATCGTTGCTGATGGACAAGTGACTAATGAAAAAATCAACCAAAAAGCTATAGCTGCAGCATCACGCTATCCATTATCAATTATAATGTTCGTTTTCTACAGAGTGTAGTGTATTACGTACATGGAATTAGTTTAATTTGAAAATTTATGACGCAAAAGTTAAATTATCTGATGTGCACATTAGTCAGAAAAAAATACCACGTATTTCAGACTAATAAAGCTCTGAGTAGAATATTCTTCCATATACATCAATTGTTAGATCAAATTTATGAAAGTTATGATGAAATTAAATAAATCTGAAAATCCAAAAAAGCATATGATTCATCAGATTTTTAATGCATTTCCAGGGTTGGCGTTGGTGATGGACCATGGAATATGATGACTCGATTTGATGAGACATTGCCAAAACGAATGTTTGACAACTTTCATTTTGTGGACTTCCATAAAGTGAGCTTGATCATGACTAGATGAGACTGACAACATATTTTATCATTCTATAATGTGAAAAGCTAGTCTTCCCGCATTATACCATGCAGAACAGGAAAACAATTTTCTAGGTGATGTTCAATGCTCCGAACCAGGAAGCATCATTTGCTTTAAATGCCCTCATGGAGATTCCAGATCAGTACAAAGCAATTAAAGAACTTGGTCTACTCAAGAATTCACAACGTGGTTAGGAAACCCATCTCACCTAACAGAGCAACAAAATGCGCATAACAATACTAGCGAACTTCCAATGTTGCTAGCGATAACGCAATACGACTTGACTGTACATTATATGAAATTGACAACTCAATACTTATTATAATCAGATTGTTCGAACTGCAAATAAACTAGCAACATCATAACAGAAACCGTATTTTCTACCAAAAAATTCATGACAAAATCTAACTATAACTTGCTTGCTTCTAGAAATTTTCCATACTACTGAAGATATTAGTAACTGGAATAAAACCAAAATAATCCAAAAATAATATCAATCACAACCATTCATATACTATAGACCTCATTTGCGCAAACTCAAAAACAAAACCCACATCAACATAATTTTGGACTCACATCCAGAAGCAGCCTGAACTATTCCCACTAATGACAGAACGTTGCATATTGCTTTGAACGCCCCGCTGTATTCCACATTTTTTTTAAGTAAAATTCACTCCCCTTCGCCATGTTTCCCCCATATTTCTGTACTGCGGTCCAAATGTTGATAAATCCATTATATGCGAACAATAAGCAATCTAATTCCAATTCCAAACAAAGCATTATGACCTCTCTCATAATACATCCCATTAAACAGACTTTACATCATATGAAAAGTAGGTTTCTTCAAAATTTTCTATTCATTAAATAGACTGTTTGAGAGGAATAAAAACAATGAACCAGTTTCATGACATAGCAAGGTGCTATGCACTTATTAATAACCAAAAGATACTAAAATTCTTTAGCTTTTATCAGCAACAGTTGTCAAGAACAAAATTCATTCCGCAGAACAAACACAGGATTCATTATTCTTAGGTCGTAACATGAAAAATTTAATGTTAATCGTCAATTGACTTTGGTAATGTCAAACCCCAACAACGATTATAAAAGCAAGTACTACAATACAAATATTAGTCACAATACCCAATTCATCATGTCAAAAATATAAACTATACGAAATCAAAGAAATTAGGATACAATGTATTTCATTCTCAACACTTCTTTTTCCCACCTCTTTCTTTAATTGAAAGCATTATAGTAGCTTCGGAATCCATATTATAATACGCTAAAGTACAAGCATCTTTCAGAAATAGTCCCTGAAATAAATCGAATTCAATTTCTTGTTTTTTTTTAAACTAAGATAATTTCACATTTTTTTTCAGCTGTTTTATAAAAACTGATTATCGAAAAGGTTTAGAAATTATAGTCTAGTTTACTTCCAGAATTTCAAGAACAGATTTCAAGAATTCTAAAAATCGTACTTCATGAGCCAGTTTCTGCTTCGTACATGGCAATCCTGTTTCATCTTGAACTATACTCTTAAGAGTAGATACCTAAACATTACTCTATTAATTCTGATAAAATCAGAAGTTTACCAAAATCAAATCTTTTGAGTACTGAACTAAATTACTGATTATAATCTGAAATGTAAAGAAGCAAAAAAGAAGCGAGAAAGCTTAGTGAAATACCGGAGCAGAAACATCAATTGAAATATTTAAGCGTCTTCCATCAAGTCTCCAATCTGGATTTGGAGAGGTGCCCGGAATCTGAACGATAACAGTAATCGACCCGCTGACCTGAAAGTAATCGCATAAATACGAAATAGAATTGATAATGAGAAATGAAAATCCTAAAACATTTTGCAGTGAGGTAATTAACGACAGTTTCACGAGAAAGTTTTCAGAATCAATTGTTATTTAACATGAAAAAGATCTAAATTATCTGGCACATGCTGCAACAAGAACATTAAAAAATTAAGCATTTAAAAAAAATACTTTTTCAAGCCAGGAGGCTTCACTTTCCAGATCGTCTTCAGTACGAGATTTCTTCGCAGGTGGAGCCTCATCTGGAGCAGCAGTGCTAGTTACAGTTGTTGTATCGGTTGCAAGTGAAGATGAAGCTGGAGGTAATGGAATTGGTGGCACTACTGGTGTAGCAGGAGTGCGAACGGCAAGTGGTGATTGTGGAATGACTGGGATTGGTATGATGGGAACAGCAATTGGCGGCTACAAAATCACCCTCACAAAACGAATAATCATTAAATTACGCATGGTTTAATGATAATAGATGCTTAAACAAATACTACATGAACTTTATTTGATAAAGACTAACTCTCATGATTGGCATCTGAATTGGTGGAATTGGCATTGGAGTTCCTGGGAATGGCATAGTAGGAAACCTGTAATATCCTTATATATTCTAAACTCAAAATTCTTCAAAAAATTATGAATTTTCAACATACGACATTGCACAATTTATAATGTTCGCAGCACATTGTTTTTCATAGCTCTGTCTTGAAAAAACAAACCCAGGCGGTGGTGGTGGTGGGGGTGGTGGAGGTCGAATGGGAATTTGAGGTATAACAGGTGGTCTGACAATCTGTGTAGACGATATCGGAGCTGGTACGCCCTGTGGAAGTGGTATCGCTGGGCGCACTGGGGGGATAGTTACTTTTGGTGCAACTGTTGAAGTCAATGTTGCTGTAGTAGTGACTGTTGCTGCAGTACTCAAGGATAAAGTTGGTACTGTTACTGGTGGTATGACGGCTACCGCTGTTGTGGTTGGAGTAGGAATAGACTGAATGGGTAAAGGTGGCGGAGGCGGTACAGCGCCAGGTCCTATTCTTTCTTTGCTTGGATCAGCAATATAGCCATGCTGTTTATGAATCTCATTAATCTGCTGATCTGAAAAATGACTTATTGACAATTTTTGATTTCCATGTAAATTCCACTACTCTTAAGAAAAGTAGCTCATTATAAAACCGATAACTGATTGGCTAAATGTGACGTGCCTTATCCCTTTGAGATAGGTTCATAACAAAGTAATATATCATTCCTTTCGCAACACCATCATATCATGGAACTAATTAATTGAAAATTGACTACCTAGAATCGTTATTAGTTCATAATTGAAATACAACAATTACTCATTCTTATTTCTTCAACATTTATATATAAATTACCCAGAGTAATGCTTTGTTGAGCTAGTTTTGTTGTCTGATCAATAGTAGATTGCTGACCGTCCCAAATAAGCTTCGGATCAGGACCACGTACCGTTTCTTCTTCCTCACCAAGCTGGAAAAATGAATCATAGCAAAAAATTTCGGAATCGCTAAAGTCTAATTTTATTTCACCACTCAAGGAAATCTCACTGCAGTGAATACAATTACTGAATGGTATTAATTTCACTTAAACCTATCAACACATACAGAAGACGTTCATTTATATAAAAAACGATCTAAATGATGAAAAGCAACAAACTTTTTTGCCAATAATAGTTTGTTCTGCACCGTGACCAAAGATATCCGTTCGACGTTCTGCAAATTTGCCGATATTGGTGCTAATATCAGCACCTGGCGCATAGACTGGTTCTTCTTCATTGCGATCCGAAATTTCTCTATAAAAACGAAATTTTGCAAATGAACACAAACCCTAGACTCAATGATGATTTGCGAATCTTTTAAAATGATGAAACCTTTCACGCTGTTCTTTGTACTGTGAATCAACAGTATTGTAACGCATATGTTCCTGTAATTTGTCTGCTGGTATTCGTTCACCAGTGAGAGGAGAAATAATCCACTTATCCGCTGCTTTTCTTGCAGATACTGCTGAAATTGAAGTAATATGAAAGATGGAAAGTGTGATAAAATTTATTAACCTGAGTTATAAAAGTATTAAAAGTAACCAAATATATGAAAACAAACATTTTTTAGGGTCATAGTCTCTGATTATGACAGTATCCTCAGAAGGTGGTGCAGGTATTGGCTGAGTTACTTCGTATGGAGCTTTTTTCATCTGATCAATTCTATTATCTGCTTCATCATTGAAAACCTAGAAAAAATGGATCACTTTATAAATTATTTTTCCTTTTATCTAGTTCGGCATATAATGATCTAATTTTATTTCATAAACAATTTTTAAATTTATCGCCATGTATACTTAGTGAAATCATAAATACAAAGGAACGCAAGTTGAAAATTCGTTGAATAGTATGAATTCTCAAAATAGCAACGTATTATAATGGACCTAATAAAATGATACAAACCACATCGAAGTTGCTTTTAGCAAACAATCTTCCTAACACACATTTTATGTGACAAGAGCAAGGAACTTTAGTTTTACTTTATTAAATAGAAAACACACTGAAAACTCAATCTCTATCTGAACTTACTTCATTGCGAATATCTTGTTCTTCATCTGAATCAGACTCAACATCCATTTCTACTGCTTCCTCTGCCGCTGCTTTTGCTGCAGCCTCCTGAAATTATCTAGAATTTAAGATAGATTTCACTGTCTCCCATTAAAGCACGATCGTTCAAATCTATTTTTAATGCAAAAAAGATGACTTCAAATCATATGCCTTTTGTCTCTTTGTAAAGCTTCAATATATATATATATATATGGACAATCAGCACATGACAATAAAAAATTGAAAAATATACTTGTCTTTGCTGCATCAAAATTCGTGCACCCACATCCTTAGATGAACAAAATGGTGGCAGAGTAGCTGGAATTTTAAGCGATTAATTAGTGAAAAGTAATACCTTTCAAACTTAACCATTCAATCAAGACACTTTTTTCTAGTTTAATTGGCTGATGACAACGAGTTTCTAAAAACAAAAATAGAAGACTGCTATCCTAATATGATTTTCTCACAAATTCTTTTAGATTTCAATATTTACACTATAAAGGTCCCGGAAATTAAACGCATTCTCTGAAAGCTATGCCAAACATCATAAAAGCAAGGAATCTAATGTTTCAAAATGCATAGGTAACATTACGCCACAAAAAGTAGTAAGGAACTTACGATGCAAATGAGAACTTCAACAGAAATGCAAAATTGATAAAATTCCTAAAATTATGATCTGATGAATCATAAATATAAGAATGTCTACCTGTATCATTTATTGGAAAGTCGACAGTTTGAACCACAACAAAATCATGCCAATCGATTTGCGCATATGCTATTCTTTCTCTCTCGACCTGTGCAAAAAAATGGTTGATAAATGTCGGAATCATAGCTACAAGAACAAGATGGAGCACTTTCGTACTTTGCATAGATTTAGCAATTAGTATAACTAATCACTGAATTGACAAAACAATTTCATTCACTCCATACAATAAAACATTCATCACATAGTTTCTTAGAAAAGCAAGCAGTAATACGGAAAACTTCGAATAAATGTTACTTTCGAACTCTTTCGTAAATGAGAGATATATTTTATTACCCTAGAAAAAGCTCCTTCATGTATTTTTTGAATTTAACAATATGACTGGTTTAAATAACAAAAATGTTGACCTCAGCATCCTCCTTTTCTTTTTGTGCACGCTGATATTTTTCCCAGCCAACGCGGTACTTTACATTTTCTAGCAGCTTCTTCGAATCACCTTCCTCATTTTTTAAATCATCAATGATACTTTTGGTCGGGACAATAATCTGTGCGCAAAAAATTATGATAAGTTAACACCTACATGCTACTTTCAACCCCTTGAATTCTAAGTCATCTGATTTATCAAAAGCAGAGATCATTCAATCTAAAGGATATTTCCTTCTGAGAGTTCTAATTCAGAGCAAAATTTTAACTGACTTTGGTATACTGTTCCACAAGTTTTGTAAAATAGTTGAAATTTGAATGTTGTGGTTTTAAGAAATCGAACTGATAGTTTCTTGACTCACGATTCATCAATGAAGTCAAGAACTGTCGCCCATTTCGTGCCACGAATAATGCCGTGAGCTTGATTAAATCTCTATAATTTCATACATTAGATCTGATTACTATTCATGCACTCTGCTTTATTTCATTAGAAAAGTATATCATGAATTTACAAATCAAATGCATTGATCGTTGCTGGATCAGCATCAAATTCGAAAGGAGGTGGGGGATTTCGAGGAATGAACTCTGCTTGCTTTACGTGTTCTACAACTGCTTCTGGTATTTGAGGACGCTGAAAGAGAATACAACTTTTACAAATAAAAAATAACAACTTCAAAATGTCTCAGTATAACAATCCCGAATAACACTGCTTGTGAAGTTTAAAGCTGCGTGTTTATTTACTATAACATATTAACATATTTTAAATTTTAACATTCACATAATTGCTGTATCAAAAATTTTCAAAATACGCGACTGATTCATTCAACTTTTGAAGATACCTATGGTACATAACAAAAACATACATAGAATTAATTTAATTTCGTCAAGTTTGCTTCTGCCTTTACATGGCCTCATTATTTTTATGCAGTTAGGCATCAAACTATTTAAACTATCAAGTTTCTTTTTTAAGATCAATAAAAACTTCAAAAATAAAGTGAAAGGTAATTAAAAATCCATTACCGGCACTGTGGGTTCTGCAGTTTTGCCATCACAAAATTCGACAACCTTATGCTGATAATATGCATTGTATGGATCTGTCACGCTCAAAAAACCGAATCGCGGATTAGAAGCTTCCTTTTCCCTGATTTTATTTTCGAAGTCAACTCCATTTCGAGCCACGAATGCTGCTGTCTTGTCGACAATAGCTGCAGTAGGAAATAAAAACGGTACAGTAAGCCGGTAAAAGTTTTTCTAGCTGATCAAAAATCGAGTTAGTTGAAATGACCAAAATACCATGAATAATAAGAACTAACTTCTGATATCCGGTGGTGGGTAGATGATACCAATAATTTGCCGACCGCTCATAGAAGGTTCAGTATTAACCGCATCTTCTTCTCGATTCGAAACTACTACAACTGGTGGCATAGGTGGCATAGTTAACTGCAATAACTCTTGCATGTTATTCAAGTCAAATGGAAAAACCTATTAGCAAACGATATGACTGCTTCAATATCGACATTTTTAGAAACATAGTAATATTTTTGAACTGTTTCTAAACAGACACTTATACTTTCCAGTCAGATAAAACCAGTTGAAATAAATTCACGAAAAGCAAACATGATATCTAAGTCAGTTAATGCACATTTGCCAATCATATATTATTCTCAATATGCATAATTTATGACTTCTTCAAGTTTAACTAGCTTGAACCTATATAATGTTAACAAACATAAACTCAGCAATCTTTATGAAACATCCTACAACAGCCAAATTCATATACAATCTGACTGACTTCTGACATCTCTCAGAGAACTAAATTACAGCAAGGACAACAAGTTCTCAAAATGAAAGCACTAAATTGTAAACACACGTATGTTGCAGACCAAATGCAGGTGAAATCAATGAAAAAATAGTATTCCACGGAGTGTGAAAGTGAAGCTAGAGCCAATCATTAAGATTCGTCGTACTAAGCAGACACATTAAGTATCAGGACTAGTTCTACAGAAATGGAATAAGAACTGTAAATGTCAGACAGAACACTTCCAATGATAACAGAGGATTGCAGAAGCAATTACAGATTGAAGTCTCTAAGATCCAATAGTTTTTGTCGCATAACAGAAATATGCTACGTTTAGTGAAAACATTGTCACTGAATGAAATATATGTGGAGTGGCCATCGCTGAATTGGATACAAAAGAAAGGGAAATGAGAGCAAGCTTGTACAGGACCTGGAATAAAACTTACTTTAACTCATTCATGATACAATTAAACTTAGATTTTTGTTACGTTTTGAATCGGCTCTTTATGAACGATTATTTATAACAATGCTTTTTAACAGAGTAATTCACAAGAACTTGGAGATTTATTATCCATCTCAAAATTGTTTCATTCAATGATCACTTCCATTTATATTTTTTTGGTATTCAAGAATTTACATTCGATAGTTTAATTCATTGAAAATAAAACATTACTGCAAGTTTTGGTTCTATAACTTCGTTTTTTTTAATTATTCCGTTTAGTTCTTAATATATTATTTTAAGATAGTCGAAGAGACGTTCTAAATAATACCACAGAAATTGTTATATGGATTGATGGTGAATAGAAGTGGAAAATAGTCAGGCAAATACTGCTGATCTAACTTTTGAGATACTAATTTTTCGCTCTTAACTAATAGAAATGCTAAATTTAGTGAGAATATAATTTGATACCTCAAAGCTATGACCACAATTTTTTCGAATTTTTAGATTTATTTGACTTGCAAGAGACATATGTTTCAGTCTAACAAGAGCACTCTTTTTTCGCATTCTGCTTGTCCCCAAAAAAATAGCCTGCTATCAATACTCATGTTGTGATGAATTTATAAAATTTTTATCCCATTATTTCTTCACATTTTTCTTTGTTTATGAGATAAAATAATGTGCAATAATATGAAAAAATTTTCAATTTTTTTTTCATTTGATTTATTATATTAAATTCATATATTTGTGCATGACAATAACATCCCGAAATATAAACACATTTTACAGTAATATAAACACATTTCAAAATTTGTCACGAAGTAAGCAAAAAAAAGACAATTTTTTGGACAGCGAATGTCTTGCTATGCTTTTACTTAAATTAAACTGAAATGATAGAAAGAGCTTTTAATTTTACACTTATTTTCTTGGAATCCAAATGGGTTTCAGTGAACGTGATCCACTTTTGTTTTCAGCTTTGCCAAAGACATTAATGGATTCATCTTGTTGTCCTGTGACTCCCTTTCTTAATGTCTTTTTGAAATTTATTTTAGTAATCATGTTTTAATAAATTTGAACCACAATTTGACCATATAACAGGGTTTTTTCAGTCATGGTAATAATCAAGTTGATATTACAAAAACTAAAAATTTATTAATCTTTTAATTGCTAAGCTTAGCATTTAAAGATAGGAGCATATATTTCGAGGATGTGGCTGGATGATACAGCACACTTTTTGCATAATTTGAGAAGAAAACAGGACAATCACAATTGTTTGCTTGAATTATTTGTAAACTATTAGACCATTATATCGAGCATCATCATCTCCTCCAAGTCGAGCAAATTCTAGATTATTTTATAAATTGTCAGTCAACGTAACCTTGAATTTGATCTTTTGGAGTTGATAGATTGGTAGCGAAAATTTGTATTGTGAGTTGTTAAAAGAGCTGCAATTTTGAGTAAAAATTTAAACGCTTTGTTTTCAGAAGTTGAGTAGATATGTGAATACCTGCAAACTAGTCAATTACTCAATGATTTCTTAATTTTTAAATTTTGTTTAGAAATAAAAATTAGCTTTCAAAATAATTGTTTATTTGAGTAATATTTAACTTTTTTTTGACAAAAATTATGAAAATAAAATCAGCATTTCATTTACATGAGAGACAGATCAGTTTCAAAGCATTATTTGGTTTTTTTAGAAAACTTTAATTTTTTCTCATGAAGTTGACTTTTTTAAAAGGGTTCATCTGATTATCATATGACTTCCTTCTGTGATGTATTTTTTAATTTAGTTCAGTCTGACAGCAGTAGTGGACAGTGAGTGTTCACAAAAATGAATTGTAGTTTATTCTCACTTAAGTAGTCAGTAGCAAATGTCATCCTTTCGCTCGTGACTAAAATTTTTTGCTATTTACACGTAGAAGTTGAGACTTATGAGTGTTGAGAGCTTGTTTTCATCTTATTTTGAATGTCGATGCTTAAATTAAACTTGTCATTATTATGCATTCTTGAAAAAAGTTGTCAGCTATTTTTTCATTTGTCATCAACCTTGTTCTGTTCCACTTCAAAAACCTTTTGAATGAAAAAAGCTCTAACTTAATTAAATTGGATTAATATAAAACTTTGGATAGAGTGAAAAACAGTTTTGATTTCAGTTAAGCTCATACTTTGTTCTGAGCTTTCAGAAGTCAGTCATTCGTAATTGTGCCACAATTAATTATTAAAAGCATTTTTTAATTCTATAACAAGTATTCTTAAATACGTATCTAGAAATAAGCGCGATGGAAAGCACATTAATTTTAACAATCAGTTATGCAAAATAATTTTCAATTTTTTTCCAGATTTGCAAGTTTGCTTCTGATGACCGATTTAAAATAGATAACGATTTTAGTAAAATAGATAACGATTCTGCGACAATGATTTTAGTACCGGTTCGCATTTAAAAAAAAGTGATTAGAGTATAAATATATAAAATTTAGTAGTTAGTATCAGTACTAGTATGGAAATGAAGAAACAGTTTATCAAATTATGCAATCAGTCTATCAAAAATAAGGTTGTTGCTTTAGAAATTAGCAATGCATTAAGCACTCTGAATGTGAAGAAATGCATTCAGAATTTACAGATGTAAAAGAGCAAGGAAGTGAGTTGCGGCCATTGGTAATCATCACTTTATTTCTCATATTTATTTTTCTCTTCAACGTTTTCTCACTGAAATTGTTTTCTGAGCTTCTGCACTTTGGCAATTACAAAAGTATTCTTTACTAGCTGTTCATGAAAATTATGAGCTTTTTCATCCTTATCCTTGCTTCTCACTCAAATCTATGCTGCAGCCTCGTTTTCGTGCTTTCTTTCTTCACGCTACTTGTTCATCTTGTTTGCATTTTGACCTTCGGCATGTTTTAGAATTCAAAACTAGGAAGATGGAATATTCGGTCTTGTGGGGAATACTTAAAAAGTTACCAAGTCTGATCAATTCTTGAGTGAAAAGATGAGCTATTGTGGCTATATTAAAAGATTAAAGCTATAACAAAATTTGATTTTGTTAAACTTCTGGATTCAAGTCAAATGCTTTAGTTTCCCGATGCATAGATAAAGTCCTGAATTTTGATAATTTGAATTTTAGATGCAGTAAAGTCATATGTCCAAGTTTTGCAAGTGTATTTGACTATTTCATTGATTTAGTAAAAGCTCTTAGTGATTAATTTCATCTATTCCATATTTCAGGCCATATAACTTCACTTTACCAATGACTGTTTTAATATCCGTAACTCTGTGAATCGCATTTCTGACCATAGGAATTATCTTCATATTTCAGAAATGATAAAAGTGAAGTTTAATTCAGAATAATTCAGTCAGCAAGCTTTTAGAAAGACGTACCCATCTGATTATCGTATGACTTGTAAATTCATCAGTTTGCTCTTGACACTTGGCAATTAGAAAAATGTTATCAAATATTACAGCAGCTTTTTTCATTTCTTTTAATCATACAATTGAGAAACTGACATATTTTCATTCATCCTTTTAGCCCTCACAAATGTCAAGCTCACATTATTATCCGTTGCTACTACAATACAAGCCACTGACCTTTTGTTTTCAGTCATAAAACAATCATCACATTCATCAAAATGAACTGCTGAAAAATTTATTCAAAAAGCCATATCCGACTGCAATAATTTCAAGACATTGCATTTGTAGATCAGAAATAGTTTTTGCTTGAAAAATATATATATTCGCATTCTGGGCTAAAAATATTATCGTAAGCTTAATGACATAATTAGATCACTTGCGTCATAACTTTTTGTCTTCATTTTCAAGTACTTTTTTAAAGTTCTGTAATTATATCTAAGCTATAAAATATCTTTTGTTAAAACAATTCTTATTTGGTATGAAATATTTTTGTATTATGGATTCATATATGTATCACGAAATCTGCGATTGTCACTTTTATTCTTGTATTTGAAATAATAATCTTACAAACTTTTTAAAACTATTCTAATTATAGTTGTTATACGAAGAATTTTATGCATACTTGCATAAGTAAAAATAGTTTCTTGTAGATAGTAATTGGAAATTTGAAAACTAATCTCAACACTAAAACTCTTATTCTAAGTATTTTATTTATACTGCATAAGGATTCAGGTTTAATTTTGTTTTTATAGCAACTTCAGACTCCAAATTCTCACTTTTGAAATTTTTGATAAGTCTCTAGGAACTGAAATTACT